TGGGAGTTGTGGGGTCCCCCCAACACCTGCAGTGACTCAAAGCTCCTAACTGCCACGGGTGACAGGGGTAACACCACTTTTAACTTTTAGGCACCCCACCAGCCAGTGCTCGTCCACCCACAGACCTCCCCCCACCCAGTGCCCCTGCACAGCCCCTCCCCAACTGCCCAACACCCCACACACGCAGACCTCCAGCCACCCCACAAACCCCACACTGCTAGCATCCACCCACAGCCCCCCCCACTCCTGTGCCCTACCCACTCACTGCACTCATTGGCCGCACTGGGAGATCACTGTGTCCACTGGGCTGAGCATAAGCAAGGAGCACTCCAGCAGGGCTATGTGGGACCATCTCTGCTGAGACTTGGGAGCAACAAAATTTGAATTTTTAGGTGACTTAGGATGCTGCTGTCCCTAGCCATGTGCCTATTGTGCCTAATAGGAAATCTAATCTTGGTAGTGATGTGGTACGGATAATGTGTATCCACAAGGGGGCCAAATTAAGGTTTCATTGGCAATCTTAATTAAGGCATTTCCTAACTTTTCAGTACTTGGCTTTGCATCCTTTACATACAGTAGAAACTCAGAATTACAAATGCCAGCATCACAAACTGACTGGTTAACCACACTCCTCATTTGGAACCAGAAATATGCAATCAGGCAGCAGCACAGAGAGAGAGAAAAGCAAATACAGTACAGTACTGTGTTAAATGTAAGCTACTAAAAAAATGGAAAAGCTGCATTTTAATTGTGTAATAAAATTTCAGAGCTTCAGTGTTTGGCTGTTTATACACACACACACACACAAATATGCTGTGTTAAGTCTACAAAATTTAAACAGGTGTATTTAATTTCATATCACAAGAAAAGAAATAAGCCACATCAAATATTTTTAAAGCACAATGGTCGTTATCTGCAACACCTTTTTAAAAATCTAACTGACTTTTCACAAGTTCTGCAGTTTGACTTTCTGTATTTTTCCTCAACTAGATGAAGTGCAGAAATCACTGGTTAGCCTCATAGATTTGGAAGAGACCTCAGGAGGTCATTGAGTCCACCCCCCTGCTAAAAGCAGGACCAATCCCAACTAAATCATCCCAGCCAGGGCTTTAAGCCGGGACTTAAAAACCTCTAGGAATAGAGATTCCACCACCTCCCTAGGTAATCCATTCCAGTGCTTCACCACCCCCCTAGTGAAATAGTTCTTCCTAATATCCAACCTAAAGCTTCTCCATGGTAACTTGAGACTATTGCTCCTCGTTCTGTTATCTGTCATCACTAAGAACAGCCTCTCTCCATCCTCTTTGGAAATCCCCTTCAGGTAGTTGAAGGTTGCTATCAAATTCGCCCTCACTCTTCTGCATATTAAATAAACTCAAATCCCTCAGCCTCATCTCATAAATCATGTGCTCTAGCCCCCTAATATTTTTTGTTGTCTTCTGCTGGACTCTCCAATGCGGTTAGCCAGTTTTACTTTCTAATTTTCCTGTACTAGTACAATTATTCAAAGTTTGGGTTGCAGACATTCTAGGGGAATAACTGGATACATGTGGGATGGGGAAATGGAAACCTAAAATGTACTATAGATGATTGTCAGTTTGTAGAAACTTTGCAGTTGTTAGACTAAATGTTTTGGACCTAAATTGATGAACTTCAAATAAGCCAAAGGAAACTGAAGGTTGTTTAAAAACTTTGAAAAGTAGGCCATCTCTGTTTAGGTAACAAATTGTGGACTGGTTTCAGAGGGGAAGCCATGTTAATCTGTTTCAGCAAAAACAAGAAGGAATCCAATAGCACTTTAAAGACTAACACATTTATTAAGGTATTAGGTGTAAGCTTTTGTGAGAGACAACTCACTTCCTCAGATAAATTGTATCTCGTGAAAACTTATGCCCTAATACCTTAATAAATGTGTTAGTCTTTAAATTGTGGACTGATTTTCCTTAGGTCAGGTCTATACTATAGGGGAAGGTCGGCTTAAGGTATGCAATTTCAGCTACATAAATAATATAGCTGGAGTCGATGTACCTTATGCTGAACTTCTGTGCGGTCCTCATAGCAGGAGGTCAATGGAAGAACATTTCTGTTGACTTCCCTTACTCCTTGTGAGAGCAAGGAGTGCAGGTGCCAACAGGGGCACTCTTAGCATTTGATTTAGCAAGTCTTTTCTAGACCTTCGAAATCGAACACCGGAATATTGCCTGCTGCAGCATCAATCTTCCTGCAAGTCTAGATGTGACCTTACTTTAGGTACACTGACAATTTTTGCCACTACTGGGTGGTTAAGAGAGAGAAGATTTTCTCTGTAGTTACAGCCATAGCTGGCTTTCTGTTCAAGACTGATTTTTTACCTTTATTTTATATGTTCAAAATGTCTGTCAAGCTACTTGAAATCTGTCATGTATGTACCCCTCTGCCAGAAAAAGAGTTTTAGGAGTTGTCAGACAACCAGTCTGTTGAGAGAAGCAGCCTGGATGTGATAGTGGTGAAATCAAAAGATTGCTTAACTTTTAAAATTAGTTCTTTGTTTTCATGCTTTCTAAATGTTGCCTGGAAACACCAAGCTTGTTTTATTTTGTTGCCTTGACAGGATTGAGATTTCAGTGCTGTCCTCTCTCTCTCTCACACAAGCACACAGAGAAAGGCCCCTCCCCCAAGCTTTTTAAAATTGTTGTAAATATATTAGTACTTGTAAGTATGTTTGCTTTGGGATAACACAAGTTACAGCAGTAATTGAAAACAAGGGAATTGAGAGATACAGGTAAGCCTAGCAAGCTAGGTTCTGATAATCAAATTAGTGAAGGTACATAGGAAGTTCCCTCTCTTCCCTGCCTATCTTCTGGCCTTCACTATTTCTCATTATAAGTGAACATCCTGGTCTGTGGTTCAAGCCTCCCCTTTATTAGTCCATTTCCTTCTTGCACAGGTTCGACCTGTGTTCAGAATGCACTGATACTGCATCCAGACCAACCAGATGGCTGGAGGATTCCATTTAACAAGAATGAGGGAGGATGTGGGGCTGCCATGCGGTCTATGTGCATTGGACTGAGGTTTTGTCATCCAGAGCAGCTGGACAGCTTGATCCAAGTCAGCATTGAGAGTGGTCGAATGACCCATCACCATCCCTCTGGCTATCTGGGATCCTTGGCTTCTGCTCTCTTCACTGCATATGCTCTGAATCGCAAGCCCCCTCATGAATGGGGGAAGGGACTGATGGAAGTTCTACCACTGGCTAAAGCCTATATCCAGGAGTCTGGCTATTTTGTGGAAGACAACTTGATGCACTGGTGAGCATGGCTGGGTTTGGCTGGTGGGATTACTGAAATGTGTAGGTCCTCAAATGATTATCCATCTCTTCAGATGACCAAATTCAAGGTATTCAGTGATGTGTGTGCGCGCGTGCGCTATTCTTTGAAAGGAGCCCAAAAAGGAGAGTACATAAGTTACATTTAGGCTTCTTTTTATGGGCCTTTTACACTGCCTCTGTGAAATGAGAATCAGGACCTAGAGAGAGAGAGAAGGAAGAGGGGTATAGCTCAGTCTTCCATCAATTCAGTGTTAAAGAAATCAGTTCAGGGGGAGCAGGTAAATGTATATTTAGAGTTGGGGCTGAGGTAGGAAGATCAAACAAGTTTTGAAAGGTCCCAGAGTCTCAAGTGTTCACATCTTTCCCCCCAACACATTAGGGCTTGTGGTAGGGATGTCAATGAGTAGTTGACTACATGATTAACCAATGAGCCTAGGCTTATTGGTTAATCCTGTCAGCTACAGGCATTCCCCTCTCACCCTTGCTGCCTCTGATACAGAGAGAGGTTGCAGGGGACTCCTTGGGAGTGGGGCCAGGAGCACACTGGCTACTGACCCCACCCCTGGGGACTATTGAATAGTTGACTAACTGCTAAGAATTCACATGGTTACACAACTATTCAATCACATGATATCTGACCTCCCTAGTTTGTGGGCAGCTACAGTATTCTGGTTTGGATTCTAAATCCATTTGTGTGTGTTTGTGGAGATAATCAGAATGCAGGATTTGGTTCAAATGTCTTATTTTCTGCCACTCTGAATCCTTTGCAGGGTAATGGGTTATCTATCCTTGCAGTGCTCTACTGCCCTCTCCTGGAGGGAAGAGTCAGGCATGCTTAAGTGTTCCTCCCCTTTGACTAGCCTTTCTATTGCGCAGCTAATTATGCTTTTGGATTTCACATAGGGATGTGAATGGTTAAGTGGTCCTGCTCCAGCCCTGCGGGGGTTGAGGGGGGTCTATCATGGACAGAGGCTGCTTGGGCTGAGCTGGAGCAGTCCCTGCCTGCAGCCCCACCGGCCGAGATGCCTGCTTGCACCCGCTCCCCCCTTTAATCAGTTAACCAATGAAACAGGATTTTACATCCTTAGTTTAACAGTGGACTGAGTTCTTTTTCATACTGCAAGATTTTTGCTGACATCTGTGGCATCCAGAAGTGCTACCTACTGCTGCCCTGGGATTTTTACTTACTTTTCTCCCTTGATTTGTAGGTTCTACTTTGAAGACCAGTGGAAAAAATACCTGAAGACCAGGGGAATTTCAGATGGTGTGTCTCTTCCTACCTTCCCCCCAGCGTATGGTGTGGAGGAGAGAGATGAATTCTATGTCTCTGTGAGCTACTCGGGCTGGGGTGGCAGCAGTGGACATGATGCCCCTATGATTGCCTACGATGCCGTACTTGGTGCTAAAAACTCCTGGACGGAGCTTGCTCACCGGGCTTTTTTCCATGGTGGGGACTCTGATTCTACAGCAGCCATTGCTGCATGCTGGTGGGGGGCCCTGTATGGCTTCAAAGGCGTCAATGTATCTCTCTACAGCGCACTGGAATACAGGGAGAGGCTGGAGAAAATAGGGAAGGCCTTGTATGATGTCAGCCAGCCCGAGGAGTAGCAGCATAGAGGCAGTTCTAGAGTTCACAAGACAAAACTAAGCTGTGCAAACTTCCCTGTACTGCTCGGGGAGGAAGGCATGAAGGTTGAGTTTCATCTTGGCCTGCTCTTTGCTGCCCATCTACCCCCACCTCCTGTTCCACCCAGGGCACTTTTATGCTTTAGCACAGGGGTGGGGCAGCTCAGGCCTGGGGCCGCTTGCCTGGATCTGGCCCTGGGGCTCAGGGCTCCCCTCCTAGTATTGGGGAGTCCATGATGGTGCTTCCCCCATCTACTAGCCTGTGGCCCCTGGCTTCTGCTGTGCTAGGGAAATGTGGGGTCTGTGTCCTCAGTTGGGGGCCACATCAGTGAGGGTTTTTTTTTTTGGATTCTCACTTGTATGTGGCCCCCAACTGATTTTTCTGTGGTCTGCAGCCTTGACCCAAAAAAGGTTCCCCACTCCTACTTTAGCAGTATGCTAAAGCTAATGCTTTGTACTAGACCAAAAGGGTTAATGATCAACGGGGAGAGGAAGAAATCTGGCATAGCAGCTGTGTTCACTCAGGTTTGTTTGGAACATCTAAGACTGCATTTCTACTTAGCAGTGGGCAACAAAGAGCAACTCGTAGTCAGGTTTAGGTGTCGGACGTAATTGTAGAAGAATCTGATACTGGGTTATGTTTGTGAGGCTTTATATTCATCCACAGAACAGAACCAGCCCAGAATGCATAATGTAAGCCAAGCCTTCATCTCTCATCCCAGTGCAGCTCACACCAGCCACATTGTGAGCTCCTTGACAGCTGAGAGGTGAATATCGTTACTAGGGGACTGAACAACATGAAGGTGGTTTTTCATCTGTTTGGGGGCAAATGATTGTCACTTAACATTCATTTGAAACCTAATTTACAGCATTTCTTGCCAATTGCAGCCTTTTAAGACCTTTTGTTATGATTAAATACAAATTTTTATTGGTGTCTCTAGCCTTCCCCAATTGTGTGGGGAAAAAAAATCCCCATACAGTCTTGCCATTCACTCAGAATTACCCTAACATTAGGGTCAGAACTTCCATCTTATTTTATCGTGATCTCATTACAAAGAAAAATTAGAAACAGGAAATGCAGCTTGCTAACATATCCCAATTAAGAAGAGACAATTCCAGCCGTTGAAAGATGTTTTGTTGAAATTGTGTGACCGTTGACCATACCTTTCAATGCTTCTTGCTTTTCTATGCAAACAGAAACTGAAGTCTGAGTCTCTCCCCCAAGATGGCAGCTTTCAAGCTGATCATCATTTATCCTACTTTAAGATCCTTTACAAAAAAATATAATCACTGCAAAACACCAATAACGCAAAACACTTTTGTTCTAGGAGTAACAGTCTATATTTGCAAGCAAATAAACAGAAGGCAAGTGCTGCTTTACTTTGCCAGAGGTTTGCCATTGTGCTTTTTGAAGAATTTGCAGCAGGTATTAAAGAATTATGGAAAGAGTATGAACAAGTCTCCAAATGAGAGAGAGAAGAGAGACAAAGTTCTGTACCTTTTGAATGGAGTGATCTTTGGTCTGTAAGACCGCTGTATAGAATTAAAGCATGTATTTGGTAAATGAGTGATAAAGCACATATTTCTCATGAAACTGTTTATTGGTACTCTATTATTTTGTCCTTCATTCTCATCTGAGAGAAGGAAGGTGTTGTAGGCATCCCTGACCAAACCCAATGCTCAGCACACAAAGGCTTTGTCTACACTGCACAGTTTTTGTGCAAAAAGCTTTTTGTGGAAGAGATCTTCCGCAAAAACTTCTTGTGCAAAAGCACGTCCACACCTCAAAAGTGCATTGTAAAAGCAATGTGCTTTTGCACAAGAAAGTTTGGATGGCCATTCACTGTGCTTTTTCTGATAGGCTCTTTGCAAAAGAAACCCCTATTGAGCGTCCACACACACCTTTTTGCGCAAGAACTCTTGCACAAAAAGGAGTTTTCTCACAGGGAGAGGAATAACTCTACCGGCAAAAGCCCTCTGTCCTGTCGACTTGCACATTTTTGTGTCAAAAAAATACAGTTTGAGGTGTGGACGCTCCATGGGTTTTTGTGCAAAAACCCTGTAGTGTAGCCGAAGCCTGAGGGTACAGTTATACTTCCCCTGAAGCTCTGCAAAGTAACATTACGAGCTATTGTTCTTGCATTGAGGCAGCACAGGGGTCCTGCGCCCAAAAGACAAAGGTGAGGGCAAGGACAGCCACGGTTTGGAAAGTGAAGGCCACACAACATTGTTAAGGAACTGTACTGAAATAACATGGAATTTAAACTTGGGGCCAGGGTGGTTTGTTTTAGTAAGGTTCTAAAACAATTTCTGCGCAAGTCCAGGCTCTCATCACTTTAACAGTCACGGAAGGGTGCATCTGCCCATTTAACCAGTTCAGACTTGGAGAACTGTTTCCTACCCTGCAAGCCCAGAGAACAACCCTCAACAGGATCCTGGGCTAGATGGACCTTTGGTCTGACCCAGTCTGGCCGTTCTTATGTTCTAACTTGTTCCACAAGAGCAGAGTACCTCAGTACAGGTCCCCTACTCTCCAGCATCCTATGCAAAGAAACTTCTGAGGAAAACTTCAGTGGTGCACTTGGTCCACGAGTCCGGAAGCCCTGTAGTTGTTTGCTTTATTCAAAAATAAGTTACCCCATTAGTAGCCCCTTGCTTTCTTTTGGATTGGGAAGGCTATCACTGGGCAAAGAGAATGACAAAAGACATCACAAGCCAGGGATGTGTGGGGGATGCCTCTGTCTTCTGAGTGATGCTTTATCCCAGTTACATAGTGGGCCTGGGTTTAAATGCATGAATATGTGGAGAACAATTATTTATCAGTCAGGTAACCTGGACCTCAATTCCTCCCCAAGCCTAAGGGCCCTCCCCAAAGAATCTGAAGGGACATAAGTAGGCTGGAAAAACCTAGGATTTCGTTACCCCCCTCCCCTTTTTTTAAAAGAAATAAAAGGCTTTGTTAAGCCTTTTGTGATTTTTTTTTTAAACCAAAAAATGTTAAGCTTTGTTGCAGTCAGAAATTAAAAAAACATTCTAACCTCCCACCCTAAACCCCACCTTTATTCACTGTAAAAACAAATGGGTAGTTGTTGCCAACAAAATAAAATTAAAAACCAGCATAGCTGAAAACCAAAACCTCTCACCATTTTTTTCAGAATGTGTCATTTTGGTTAAAGACATTTCTGACCAAATGCATGCAGGTGGCTGCTCCATCTTTTTAAATTAAAAAAACAAAAACAGAAACTGCTCTAACCCTGATTGTTTTAGGAGAAAATAACTATACCAGGACCATGGTGTAGATTTCATTGGGCACATCCACAGTGTTCAAGGAGTAAGCAGGTTTCCAAAGCCACATTGGCAGCACCCAGACTGCACAAACAGATAAGGCATAGAACTCTGACCTGGTTTTCTGAGGCACACACAGAATTGCAGTGTAAACCGCAGACCAGTCCCCCTGCACTTCAGTTGCCACCAACTTTTTGAGCTGCTGAGGGAGGCCCAACAAGGCTGATCAGTCTTCATGCTTTTATAGGGACATTACCAATATTTGGAGGGTTTTTTTTTGTATAGGCCCCAATCACCCCTAACTCCCTGTCCTAATTTTTCACACTTGTTGTCTGAGGGAGAGGAGAGGAATTTGCATTTGTGCAAACTCCTGAAAAATATGATCCTTATTTTCACCATCCTTAAAAGAGGGGTGTTGACAGGGTAACTTTACAGAAATTTGGCCAGATCCTTGAACTGTCAATAAAATGGTTTTAAAACTAAGGTGCCACCCATGTCCTTTCAGAGCATGCATGCAAATGGAGAACCAGGAGCACAAGACCAAGGAAGTGGGTGACTTCTTCATGTTTCAAACTTGCAACTGTAGGAATGTGTTATAAGGCAACTTCTGTATTAACCAACTCTCTGAGCAAGCCATGGCAAGTTATTATGCCACATCACAGTGACCCAGAATGAGAGCACAGATGTGTCAGCAGAAAACCTAAAACCAGTATGTAATAAGCTGGAAGTGAGCAGCTCTAGAAAGCTCTCTGAAGTCAATATAAACCTTTCCTCTGACCCCATTATAACTGTCAGACTCTTGGTTGCTTATTTACATACTTTCCACACCCCTAATCTCTGCCAGTTGCATGGTTAGAATCCAAAGGCCTGATTACATCTCAATTTGACACACCAACTAATCTCAGATGCCATTTGGAAGCTACCTCTGGGCTGGCAGCGCATGAGCATGCGTGTAAACGTGAGGGGGAAAAAAGCATGTTGAAAGCTCGTATCACATAAAACCAGCAACAAGCATTAATCACAGTTTCAACACAGTTTACTACAGCTCTCGGATGTGTTGTATAAAACAAGTTTAGTGCAACATAGTACAAAGCTCTTTAAAAAAAAATTCCAAACAGTTTTCCACATCATGCATGGACAGGTTTTTCTCTTTGCTTCTTGGCTCATTACAGGAAGTTAAAGCAGAAAAAAGATTGTTTGAAAAACTTCATGATAAAACTTGCCACAGCGAAGTCTCGTTTATAAAAAAAAGTGAGGCTGGGCAATATGTTGCCAGCTAACTTGATAAGTCATATTCCCAATAAATTGTGTAACCACAAACGCTGCTTAGAGGGAAATCCCATCTTACAACCCTCATGAATGCATCTGCTGAAGAGCAATGCTGCAGAAGGGAATGTTTCTGGCCACTGGAGGTCACTGTGGAATAGCTTTGCTGGGAAAAGGGAAGCAATGCCAGTCAAAGGGTGTAGAGGCTACTGGGTCAATACAGCAGATTTTCAGCGCACAGATGAGGAATAATGTTCTTCTCTTAGGGCAGGAAAGGCTCCTGTTGCTGTCTTTTTTTCCTTTTAAAACTGAAATGAGTTGCACTTCCTGCCCTGAACCAGTACGTACAGGAGATTTTACATTTATGAAACAATACTCACTGGCTTTACGGCTACTTTGTTTTGGTTGGTTCTTTATTTCCATTCACTTTTCAGTCCTCTCTTCTGAGCAGACCCTCAGTATATCATCAAAAGGGGAGGAGTGCATAAGTGGATATTAGAGAGCAATATTCTACACACGGGGGCTGTAACAATTTGATGGAGGGAGACTTTGAGAAGGTCTGAGTGAAATGGAACACAGCAAATGCCTCTCCCGTAAAGAAAGGCATGTCTTAAAACTAACGTGAGGTGGACTCGAGTGAGATTTTTATGCACATGTATGTAGTATAGACACCCCCGCACCCATCCCTCCCTGATCTATGGAGAGATTACAGAGTGTAAGACTTCTGTGTGGGTTCTTCACCTGCAATGAAACATCAGAGCATCATGGTTTAACCTATTAGTCCTGTAGAGTTCTCTGAGCAGGGCTGCTCTACAATGGACCTGCTAGATTCTTCTCTCTTGAGGAAAGAGAGTCCTATTGGGTTGGAGAGGACAAAGACTGCAGGAATGGCCCCTCACCAGCAAAAAGGGGGTGGGGAAACAGGATGTGCAGTATTGCCCCACTCGGATTCAGCCATTCCACAAAAGATAAATAGCCAGGTTTGCCAGGAAGCCATTAAGGAAGACACTGAAAGGCCATTTTCGGCCATCATTCCACCCCTTCCCCCCGACACGTGCCGAGAGCATGCTAGAGAGGAGGTGGTTTCTGACACTGGATATGCCAGGGGTACTTGGCTTACTGAGTAATGGACTTTGGGTGCTCCAATTATACCGAGCCCCAATTTGATTTTTAACAGCCGTATCTTTCACAGAAAGAACAGCACTTACTGTCCCAGCACTTGCTTACAATAAAGATCAGGTGGCTCTAGGGGGTTGTGGGGAAAAGGGTCGTTTTCCTGGAGAAATAAAGCCAAAATAACAGAAAATGGCACACAAACAAGAGACAAGGGAGAAGATTCATTTCTCTCCAAAGGGCACAGACACACCGGGGGAGCAAAATCCCTGCTGCAGCCTCCTTGGTCTGGTTTCAGCTCACATTGGTAATTAGTGCAAGTCATTGGGAAAAGCAATGAAACCTGGTCATTAATTCCACGCTCCGATTGCCCAGTGTGGCTGTATCCTACCACCCTTGCAGAACCATTCAAATATAATCAATTTCAGTCAGTGGAGCCTCCCCTTCCCCTGTTTCCTTGAAGTCATTACTTTGGTCACGCTAGCGAGGTTGGATCCAGCCGGTTGGTGCGGTGTGACAGGAGCACGCAGGCAGCCCAGTCTTACTCTTGCCACGTCAGAGACCGCGGGATCAAGGATTAGCAAAACCAGGAGGGGAGGCTTTCTGTTCTTGGTAAGCTCGACGGTCTGGGAAGCCTTCTCTTGCTAGTAGCAGGCCCCGAGTGCCCCATGCCTCCCAGGTGCGCGCACAGCCCCTGGCAGCAAACCAGGCTGCTTCGGTCTTGACTGCAAGTGGCCTGAGCACTCAATCCTGTCTGAGGACAAGAGCACATCTCCAGCTGAAGCCACACACACACACACACACACACACACACACGCGTATGAAATCCTCAAAGAAAGGAGAAACATTTGGGGTGCAGAAGTGGATACGCCAGCCTCGTCTTTGAGACAGACCTTGCCAAAACTCACCCACCGTCCAGATGCAGGGCCGGTCCTGTTCACTTCAGGATAGTGAGCAGCTGTCTCAGTTCACCTTCGGGAAAGATTTTGTTCACAACAACATGAAGTCCAAGAAAGGCAAACAAAATCTACGCCAGGAAATGAATACATGTATTCCAAAAAGAGCCCCAGGACTCCCAAACCAGAGCACTGGGTGAAACTCCTCGGGGAGCTGTTCACTGTGTGACGGAAGGGAACACTACAGTTTTGGGGTAACAAAAGCTTAGCCCAAAGGATAACAATAACTGAGAACAAAATGAACCCAAGAGGAAAATCCACTATGTACAGCAAGCACATGAACTGTCTGTCCATCTCTGGACTAGCTGTGTTATTGCAGGTGCTTGAGAAAGACTCAAACCCTCCAATCCCCAGAGATAGGGACCTCTGAATGGCTCAGCCATGGAGCCGAAGAACAGATGTTGAAACAACTAAACAAGAACATCAAAACCGTTCCGTTCCTTTGGGTTCCAGGTGTGTTTTTTCTCTCTCTCTTTGCAGGTCCCTCTGGGCCTCTTCCCTTTAGTCTATTGTTCCTGGGTGGATGCTGAGGACTGGCGGCTCCAGGCAGGTGGGAGAGTAGTTGAGGTGTGGCTCTTTGATCCACAACAAAGGGACCCCATTTTTCCCCTCTGAGTTCTTGCTGGAGTTCCTGCTCTTGAATCGCACCAGGAGGATGGTGATGATTAGGATGCCGAAGATGGGGAAGGGGTAGAAGAACACAAAGTAGAAGAGGGCATCGTTGGAGCAGATGATGGACTGCAGAGTGGAGCCTGAAAGCAGAGACAAGGGGGAAACCCCCCCCAAAACACTGAGTAATGAACCGCAGCCATTCTCACTACTAGCCAGAGAGCTGCCAAAGAGATGGGGAGGCAAATCTCACTACTAGCCAGAGAGCTGCCAAAGAGATGGGCATAACAGAGTAGTGTGGAGATAGGGAGGCATCAATGTCTGAGTGGCTATTCAAATTTCTCCCTCCCCACAAGGATGCTCTTTTCCTAGAGTAAATCTCAGCTGGGGTTTAGTTTTTTGCAGTAAGGAGTGAGGGGGACAGCAGCCTGTTGAGTACAAAGAAAATGAGCCTAAAATAAAGGAGTAAATGTCAGGAATAGAAAATAAGGCCATATCCCCATCATTGGGAGCCTTCTGGGCTGACCACAACAAGGCTGCATCAACTGTTTATGACATGACCCTCCCTTGAGAGTGGTATAGCTGCAATGCGTAGTAGAAGTGGGACCTCAAGTGTGGTTTGTAACGGGGCATGAGGGTTCCCCAGGACTGTAGCTCAGATACAGAACACTTGGGGTCTTGTCTACACTACATGTTTGAAACTAGTCTCTCAACTTTGTAGAGCAGAGGGACTCATTTGTCTTTCACCCATATATTGGTCTAAGCAGCGGAGCAGTCACTGAGTGAATGGAGTATATGGTGCTGGGAATTTGGGGGCAGGAATAAAGCAGTAGTGCCAACTTCAATCATTCATCATAAATCAGCTATCAAAAAGTCATGAGGTTTTCAAAATTACATATCGGATGTGTTTATTTGCCTGCAGTGTCTCAGGCGTCAGGACGAGGCCAGGCCATATTTTACTCCTGTGCTGTGACCATTCAAACCCAGAACCTTATTTTTTAATGAAATCCAAGATTCTCACTTAGTCCCATGATTCTGGGATCTGGGGCTCTAAGAAAAAACACCAAGTATTGCCAGACTTGGCAACACCAAGCAACAGCTCCAGGAAAGCGTCCCCTTTTATTCTGTTCTCCAGGACGAAGCAGCTGAAGCTTGGAGCTTTCATCAGAAGAACTCGTACTGCGTTAGCGGAGCATGAACAGCCTCTGAGTTTGTGGACGGTGGGGTTTGGCTGAAACGAGACAACGGTAGCTCTGCTCTCTCCATGCGGCAATCCCAAAGGGTTCACTGCTCCCTGACCGGCTCAGATCCTGCTCTACCACCCGTTCTGAACGCAGTTTCCGTTTAAAGGGACAGAGCAATACAAAAACCCTATTAATGGAGGTTGCTTCTATGAGTCATACCTAGGGCTGCCTGCACTGCTTTGTCTTCCATGGCAGGGAGGGATGATGGGATAATATGCAGACACAGCACAGCACACAGTCTAACTGGCTCACACAATAACTAGTCTGGTATTCTTAGCTCTCAGGCAGCTGCACGATTTGGTGCTGGGGTAAGAGGTGATTTACCCAGAGCAGATTTTAGGGTATATTTATGTATATCTCATGTATTCTATGGCCTGGTGACAGCAATCCTGCTCGGGGGAAACAGAGGGGTTGGGGTTAAATATGGTTTAATGTCTCTTATTTAAGGAGACAGACATGAACTCTTCAGACCCTGGTCTCTGTCCCATCCACCATCTTCATAAGTCAAGTGGCACCTTGTTTATTTCCCACTGCACTGGGAATGGAAAGAGCGGAGTGGCTCACAAGCAGCACGAGTGCCTAATATGCAGACTAACTCATGCTTCCACCTCTGCGATCCATTCCCAGCTTTCCAATGGGTGTGCCAATAGTGCCTCCCTGCATCGCACACTCTGAAAGGGAGGAATAGCGCCAACTAAGATTCCCCATCCTTAGCTCCAGAATGGGCTCGCGCTAGGAAAGCCAGCAGGGAAACCAGAAAGGGATGTCTGGTGTGTTCAAAATGCCCCAGGGTGGCAAGAGAACTGGCAGCAGTTCCTAGCCCTGCAAACCCCCCAGCATTGGCAGCCAAAGCCAGCCTGCACGGTCTTTCTCCTTCCCAGCCTGTGCGCTGGGAAACAAAACTAGGAGTGCTGGAGAGTTCAGCCCAGCACAGACAAAGGCCCTCACAACAGAAGGCGACTAGCATAAGAGGCAAGCAGCAGATGCACCAAACTCCTCACAAGTTCCCAGCAAACCAGCCAGGCACAAGCGTCTCCCCATGCAGAAGGCCTCTCGCTGGGCAGCTGACCCGTAGGATGCTGGATTTCATGCTGATGCAGAGACCATAGCTTGTCTCCACTGCAGGTGCCTGGGTCACTAGAGTTTGAGGAAGTGTCTCACCCTAACTTCGTAGAGACATTAAGCCCTGTCACAAAGCCAGACACCTCAATGAATGGCTTCTGGTTGTCACTCCTCAGGGATGCGGGAGGACATGCTGGCCAGTGACAGACATCACACTCCCAGCACTGCACTACCTGGCTTTTAATCATGTTTCTGTTGGCTTCGCTTGCCAGCGACTACAGAACTGGTGAAAGGGGCCAGGGGCTGGGCATGCTGGTGAGCAAGCCCCTTCTTTCCCACTGGAAAGCCACAGCATTAGCCATGTCAACTGCACTGGTGCCTCCACCTGCCTCATCCTTCACTTGTAGGAGCCTCTTCAAGGTAGGCCAGGACAAGTCAGTCTCCACGGCCCATTCAATCCGTGGCCTTTCTGCCTTGATTAAGAAGAGGGGCAGTTGCTGTTAACTATGCCAAGCGTGTTATCATGGTGGACACGTACCCAATAGGCTCAAACCCACCAACTATTGACTCAAGGGACACCAGACTTCCGGTCACTCCCCATTTGAATCTATGACAGAGGCAAAAGGCTCCATTGTCCCATTATTAATCCCCTGCCATGATCCCAGGAAGGGCTTGGGAGAGCTTAGATACATGAACATCTATTTCTCCGCACTGTCCCATGTCTGAGTCTCCGCAGTGACCCGTGCCCCTCCTCCCCGCTGGAGCCGTCTGACATTTTCTCACCTGTGTCCTGCACGTGAATAGTGACTGTGCCGGACTCCTCCTCAGCCAGCCGGTACCACGCCCCCTTGGGGTCAGGCAGCCACTCCTCCACACGACACGAGTAGTTGCCAGCATCAGCAGCGCCTGCCTGCAGCACGGTCAGTCGGTAGTGCGCAGAGGAGAGCCTCTGGAAGCGCAGCCTGCCTTCAAAGCGACCTGCCTCTTGGCCAAACACTGCATCCGGGCCCACGCTTAGCAGAGCCTCCCTCTCCTCCTCTTCCTCCGTGCCACGGCTAGCGAGGCCTCCTCCCTCTTTCGTCCTCAGGTTGTACCAAGTCACAGCGAAGCGGGACTCTTGGCTGGAGCGGGACAGAATGTTGCAGTCCAGTGGGAAGGGCTCCTTCTCTAGCACTGTGAGGTTGGAGATGGCGGTATCCACCTGCAGGGTGGGATCTGACAGTTCAGAGGCACTTGTTAATAAAAGGGGAGAGAAAAATAGCACACACACTGGCTGAAAGAGCTACCCCTTCCCAGCCCAGATGTACAGCCATAGCCCTTATATAGCACAGCCTCCAGGCTAAACACAGCCAATCCATGGCCACAGTGCTATTTGTGGCAATCCTGTGAAAACATCCCCAGCATACAATGCTCCAGCTTGAACAGATGGTGAAAAGGGAACTTCCCTACAGCACAGTTATGCCCTCTGTGTGCTACTCGGACAGATTCAGACAGCAACCTTTCAGTAAGAAGTGTGCATGTGCATATAGAGTCACACAGAGAATTTTACAACATCATAATTAGTTTAGGATGCCTAAAAATATATACAACTCCAGAAGTTATAGTTCTATATTCACCCTCATGGTATGTGTGAAAGAATAATTCTGCTCCATCATTAGTGTTATAAATAATCTTACACGATAAGCCTAATTTTTATTCTTGAGCTCTAAAATTTACAAACACCATCATCATATATTGTTTTCAATACAGACAAGTCTGATCTGGGATTAACATTCTTTTTTTCTGAAAAAGCACAAAGTTAATGGACAATGGGTTCCTATATCGTGAGACTCCCGCAAAGAAGGAGTTAAATACAGTTCCAAGATTCTCAAGATTGGGGAGGGGGAAGCTGTTTGCTGCAAAGAGGGGAACCCCCTCCCCCCCCCCACACACACACAAGGTTCAACTCTCTTCACTAAGATGCAGGCCCCAGGACCTACAATTAGTCGATCAACATCTGATTTCAAGAGCAATTAACATTTGATTTCATAACATCGTCAGGAAACATGGACTCTGGAGAACCTACCGCAGCACCTCAAAGAGATGCTGGAGATCTGTGCTTCCATTTAAAGAGTTCAGAATGCAACTTCCAGCCTTTTTCTTTGCACATACACTGAATTTAGACTGCTACCCACGGCAAGGGAATTTGTCGATAGAAAAACAATTTTTCCTCAAAAAACTTAGCAGCAGGTTCTCCATGCAGATCTCAGCAGGTCCAAAGGAAATAGGGGACTTCTCCTCTGATCTCCTCACACCCTTAAGTCTCGCTCAACTTTTCTATCCTCTAGAAGAAAAGTGCTGCTCCCTTGTAGACCTCAGGAAGCTATTTTGGCTGGCTCTTAGGGCTATTTTTTGATCATTTTGGGGTGGGGAAACCTATTAAAAGCTGTGTGGGCATCTTCATGGAATCTACCAAGGTCAGCAAGGGGACCGTAGGAGCCCTGATGGGCAGCCCAAGGCTCATGGGAGTCAGCGAAGTTTCAGATTCTGCCTAAAGTTGGTGGAAGAGGGAAGAATATCTCCACTCCCTATGATCCCCTCTACGGACAATGGTGAACAGCTGAAGTAGGAGGGACTTTCCCCCTTTATTCTACCAACTCGCAAAGCCTTCTAGAATCTGTATTTCCCTCACCCCACTTCCTGCAGACATTAAGCAGTCAATGGGAATGTGGCTCTCCTCTTACAACTCTTGACAGCAATCTCCTACCCTGAGAGTCTAAAGAGGTTCACAGAAGTCAGACTATTTCTGTGTCCTTGAAGTCTGTAGATTCAGAACTTTTCTTGGAAGGATAGCAGGCAACTAACAGGATTCCTTCCTTTGGGCCTCCTAAGCATTGCTGGATCAGAGCTCTTTAGATTTGCAGGAACAGGGCACCTTTTTAGCGGTTCTTGAGTTTTTCAGATGGTTCTAAGGAAATTCTAATATAAAAAAGCTTCATGCAGGTGATGTAAACTGCATGTACAAGTCAGTGGTTTGAGCTCATGTCCTTCAAGGAGGCCACAGGAGAAAATGGTGAAGATATGTCTTCAGATTCTTGATATGGGTAATATAAAACACAAGCAGGGCAAACCCAGGCCTCCTCGTAAAGCAGCAAATACAGGAAGGGCAAAACCCCAGTTTTTCTCCTTTTTGCAAGTTACTTACAAGGTAACTTCAGACTATGCTCAGTGAGTACTTTTCCAATTGCTCATAATTACTGATTTCCAAAAAATAAGCACAAAGAATCTCATGGAAGAATGAGTCACATGCTATGTTTGGAGCTTTTGTTCAGCCATTTTTGAGTTACTCGTGAACCAAACCAAAAAAAAAAATTGCTTTTCTTTAAGCCTAAATCAGTGTAGTTCTCTTCCCCTCTCTACCTCCCACACACAAACTCACACTCCCACAGCTCAAAGGAGGCTGAAGGGATTTCCTTCCACACTTCGCTAAATCATTCATCTCCGGGCTTAGAAAAGGTCTGGGAAGTTTCAGCCCAAATGGAGATTTATATACAATATTAGTTATACTGTGTGTAATCTACACTGTAATCACCTGGCGACACTGGGATCTTTCTGTTCACGCCAACTCAGCTGGAAATGTTTCCTAAGAAAAGATTTCATGGATATGAATTTTCACAATCCCCGAGACCATTTTTCCATTTAGGGGCACAAATTCTCTCCACAGGGAATTAAGTCCCTGCTAAAACCTTTCCAGTCTCCTGATATTTTGCCAGCCTCATTGCATATCCCCTGGGAGAAGTCCCAATGAAATAGTCTGGGAATGTGTGGAAAAAAACCCAAAACAAAAAAACCCCTATGACTGTATTCCCACGTGCTTACATCCAGAAAGGAATATGTATAATCTAGTCTGACTTTTTTCTCTAGTACAGGCCAGAGAATTTCAACCAGCGAGTCCTTCATCAAGCTCAATAATTTTTGACTGAACTAGAGCATTGCAGTTAGAAAGGCATCCTGTCTTGATTCAAACACTTCAAAAGATGGAGAATCCACCACTTCCCTTGGTAAATTGTTCATTATCCTCACTGTTCAAAATGTGTGTCTTATTCCCAGTCTGAATTGGACTGGCTTTGCTTTCCAGCCCTTGGTTCTTGTCATGTGTGAAAGGCTGCAGACACAGGTGCTGGAAAGGCTGAGGAAGGGTTCTCTTCCCATGTCACTTTGTTGTATGTGGCACGAGCACATATTTGGCAGCAGCAGGGAACAAAGAAACTGCCATATCAGATCAGACCAGTGGACCACCCAGCCCAGACCCTGTCTCTGACAGCAGCCAGCCTCAGCTGTTTCAGAAGAAGGTGCAAGAAGCCCCCCAAAGTGAGCAGTTATGAAATAATCTCCCCCTAGCAGAAATTGCTTCCTAATTCCCTCATCAGGTAGAGAGCTGGGAGTTCTGTTTCCAGACGAGACAGGTCACAATATTGCTCTGCTTCAGTTTCTCCATATGGAGAATGGCAGTGATCCAGCTTGCTAAACAGCTTGGATAAAAGCTCCAATCTGAATGCCTGAAGAAGCTTTCAACCCATGTAATTATCTCCCATCAGATGCACATGCAAGACCATAAGGTTCCTTTACACAGATCTTTAAGTCACACGAGGTCGCATTTCAAACCAGAACATAGCACGTTTTAAAAAAAAAAGTCATTCGAATGATTTAAAAATGGAAAAAATATTTGGATATAAATTCCATGCTCTCCACACCCCTACTCCTCCATGGAGCCAGGGAGGTGCCAGTGTTTAAAAAAACAATTCACAGGCCTTCCAGCCACAGCAGGGAAGAAGACAACTGACCCCCAAATCTTATTTCAGGATTTCTGTGTCTGCAGTACCCCTATGTTCTCCTTCCAGATTAACGAAGGGACACAGATAATTTAGCTCAAGCTGTTGCTATTGCCTGACCTTGCTGCCCCCAGTGCGGTGGCAGAGCATGGGGTGAGGCAAGAATGCAAAGAAAAGAGGGAGCTGGAAACGGGCATGGAAGAGTCATGCGGCTGCCATACCCCTCTCTCCTTCCCCAAATCAATCCTGAGCTGGCTGTTGAACATGCAGGCTGGAGTCAGACATGGCTTCCTCCTGTGTTCACTGGAGAAAGGACAGTCACATTGTCATGTTTGGGGAGTGCCACACAGAAAGTGGCAGATATGCCACTATAACAATGGTACGCCATTTCTCACTATGCAGCAAGCCAAGTCAGGACCCTCACAGTTTGGGAGGGAGAGGAAGGCTCTCTCTCTGGCACCTCCAGAGCCCAATGCATGCAACCAACTTACCTGGCTGTTTCACTGTGACCGTAGTCAGCCCAGAGAGGTCTTCTGCACGTTTGTACCACTGGTTACTGGGATCTAAGAGCCACTCCTCCACGCGGCAGTCATAGGCCCCGCTGTCTTGCACTGTCACATTCTGGAGGGTGAGCAGGTACAGGCCTGGGGAAGGACTTTCCAAATTCAACCTTCCCTTCAGGCCGCTCAGAGTTGCCAGGTCTCCATACTGCAGCGTGGCCTGGCGGCTCAGCTGTGCCACTGCCTCTTTCTCTGGGTGGCCAGATTTCCACACGTACCATTCCACTGACAGCTGTGATGTAGGGCTGGTCCGGTTGGTGACTGCACACTCTAGTGTCACCCACTGGTTCTCCAGAACCGTGAGGTTCTTCTGGGTCTGGTTCACCTGCAGGTGGTTGTCTGAGGGAGAAAACGAGAAAGAAATTAGAGCAATAAGGTGACTGCCACAACCACTGTCCTTTCTCACCCCAGCCACAACCAGAACCAGGCTCTCAGCTCTTTAGGGTTCCCTCTTTGTTTTGTGGAACATCTAGAAGAATTTAGGGTGTGGTAAAGAAAGAGAAGACTAGGATTTTCACAGGAGTCTTACATTCAATGGAATCGGGGGACCTAAATCTTATAGGGCCGCCCCCTTTTTTTTAGGCAAAATAAAGACAAAGGCACCTGGTCCCCATGGCACGGGGGCCAGAGAGGTACCGCAGGCACAGCAATCCTCCAATAGGATCTGGAGATTCTGAATGTAGATGACCTGGAGCTGAAGGGGGTCACCCATGCTGCCACTAGATAGGGAATTTCTCCTCCATTTGACCTACAACTTAAGAGGACACTGATGGTGGCTGCAATCAGCTATGTATGCACATAATGTATGTGTCCCAGACTCTGAACAAACTGCCAATGCAAACCCTCATAAAAGGCAAGGTTTGAGCTTCCCTGGCACAGTAGATGCCCTGTCACTCCAGAACAGAGATGGGAGATAACGGATCTCTCATAACACTGAGTGGCATAGGGCTTAGGGGTGCAAAAGGCAATAGTGCATGACAACACTGCCCCTCTCATCTCATATGGATCTCCATGCGTGAGACACCCTCCACCCCTCTGAAATCTGTACTTCTCTGAATCAGGGTCAGAGGGTTTGTGCAGTGCTGTGAACAGCTGGGTTTGGTGTCCAATGGGCACTCAGGCCATATACTCTAGTGAGTCTGGCATGTTTCATGGTCTGGGTAAACAGACACGGCAACACCTGACGTAGATGCTAGAGACTGACCGTACGAGGACTGCAGGATAATGGCCTCTGTCATGCCTAGGCCCAGACTGCTGAAGCACTGAAGAACTGATTACCAGTAAAGAATTGTGAGCTGAGCCCTACATCTGCGTATCATCTTTCTGCAGACCTGCCTGCCAGCTGCGCTCTTCCTCCGTCCTACCCCTGACCTACAGGGCATTCTTCCTCACCTGCAGGCATCTTCACTCCCAGAGGAAGCTGGAGCCCTCTGTTTGGGCAAGGCAGGCCCCTTCTCCAGGAGGAGGCCCGATCATACGCCTCTGGAGGGAGACGTGGCTCGGGGAGGCTGCCAGCCCTTAAAGATTCTCTCCCCCCTCCCCGCAATAGCCCTGCTCCCCTGCGTCTCTGTGATTGGTGACTGTTTTGCAGAGAGGGGCAGGAGCCTGATTAATTCAGTACATCCTTATTACCTCCATTTCCCATCTCTGCCAATGACATCCTCTGCCATGGAAACCACCAGTAGAGCAGAACTCGCGCTCCCTGGCAGCCAGCTTCCCACCTCATTAAACTCATTACTCACATCTCTCATGCAGAGTGCAAGGAGCTGAGACACACTCCCGCAAGGATATTGGCATAGAGTAAAATTAAACTGGATAGGAAAGAGCCCTGCATGCACAGCTCTGCCAGGCACACGTGCTTGCCCCCTCTCATTAGGTCGCCAATCGCCACTCCGGCTGCAGGACACTGTCTCAGACAGAACCCTTCTTTGCTCCGGCAGGAGTTACACTCTGTCCACACTTACAGTTGATCAACAAAACTTTTATTGTTCCTGGCTTCTTAACTCCTCTGGCCCCTAAACAACAGAAGCTTTGCCGAGGCAAGTGCGAGTGTGAACGCTGCTGTGTCAGCAGGCGTGCTCTCCTGCCCACAAAGCAAAAGCCACTCCTGGGGGCTGGAAGTATTTGGGCAGTGAAAGAGCTGACAAACCATGTTCACACGCACTGACATTTAGCAACACAGCTGTGTCAACACAGCCTTGTTGTTAAAAGTTAAATAGTGTAGACATACCCTCACTTAACATTGACATGAGAAGGGCTGTCCCATGCTAGCTAAGCCCAACCTCAACTTGAGCATTTCCCTTCCCAAGACAAAGCCCCAGACAAATAAAGGCATCTTCAACCCCTTCTCCAGAAAGATCTACCCTATGAGAGCTGCTGATCCCATCTCCTCCTCCCCCAAATCAATCCTCTGCTTTCAACACATTGAAATGTGCCATTCCACACCCCCCCTCTTCATGGCAGATCCCCTTCCATCGTCTCCTCACACAGTCCTGCTCTAGCTTCTCTCCCAAACCCTTCAGAAGTGCGCCAAATGGCACCTTCCACTGTGCTGATTCATGACTTTCTGACTAAATCAAAAGATGGAAGTGAGGAGATGGAGTTGCATGGAGAGTGCAGGCCATGGGCTGCCTGAGCCAGGGAACTGTGGAGGCAAGGCAAGACTTGTGCCAGGCAACACTACTGTTTACCCCACTTCTGCAAAACATCCCCAATCCTAACATTGGGCCCCTTAAAACTCCATTTCCCAGTGCCAGCCATGTAGAAAGTAGCCAGTTCTCAAAGGACTTATGCATACACCCGGAAAAGTAAAATCACACTTCCTTATTGCTGTGGGAGGCAGGCTGCTCTTCACCTCCCCCTTTTTTAACACAGTGTTAAAGCTCAGACGGATGGTAAAACACATCCCCAGCTGCATTCCTTATCCCATCGGTCTGTTTCCATTCCTGAACCTCCTGGGGTTTCCCTTGTGTGAGGGAGAAGGGGGCAGAGGGAGTCCTTGAGGACAGAGTCCCCATTTGAAGGGGAAGCTTCGCTGAGGGGCTGAGCTGTGTCACTCCCTCCTGGCAGGGTGAGCTGAAGAGTCTTGCTTGGTTTGGAAACCAATCAGTCAGTTTAGGGAGGAAACAGACATCTCGAATGCAGATGATACAAGTGACAGTGGAACAGACTCAGGCTGCAAACGTGATACACACACGTAAGCCCCAGGTGCTCCTGGGGGCAAGCAGGCAGAAGGGCAGTGGCTCTAAGGTCCAGCATGACAGAGTAAGGCTGAGACGTCACTTATTCTAGCCTACCATTTAGCAGGGTCTCCGGGGCTGAAGGAAACAGGCTGGGAAGGACTGACCTTTTTGCAGGAATGCCTGTACAGCTTTCTAACCACACACCACCCCAGCCAGAAGAGAGGGACTTGCCAGATCCCAGCACTGCTGCTGGGAGGGGAGGCACATTCCAAGAGCAGGCAGCGAGCAAGGGGATGTGCGGCAAAGTGGTAAGAGAAGCCTGGCTCCAGTTTGGCCCTGGCTGTGAGGGAAGGCCGGTGCGACTGGGCCCAGTTTGGGAACAAAGGTTTAGCGTGTGAGAGGGAGGAAAGAGAGAGGGATTTAGCTCAATTGGGCCAAACTTGAGCATGAAGATTTAGTTCAGCTGCAGTTCTTGGGCACAGTTAATGGCTGGGGCGAGGGTTTGCTGGGGAACGCGCCCTGTTGGCATGGTCCGTGTTACCTGGCTGCTTGACGGTGACCTCGGTTCGCCCAGACACCTCCTCCGCCAGCTTGTACCAGGCATGGTTGGGGCTGAGCAGCCACTCCTCCACATGGCAGTAGTAGCTGCCGCTGTCACTGACCTCGGCCCGCTGGACAGTAAGGCTGAAGAGCCCCCCGGAGGAGGACCTCTCGAACAGCAGCCTCCCCCGCAGCCCCTCCTCCTCGGCGTAGGTGCCGTACTCGAAAGCAGAGCTGTGGGTTGTCTTGAGGATGAGCTTGCCATCGGCGTCGGACGGCTTGTGGACGTACCACAGCACCGCGAAGTGAGAGTCTGGGCTGGTCTGCGATTTCACGGAGCAGTTCAGCGGGATGGGCCTGCTCTCCACCAGGGTGATGCTCCGCTTCGATTTGCTGACCTGCAGCTTGGTCACTAGGAGGAAGACAAGGGGAGAAGGAGACAAAGAAGATTATTAAGACAAAGCGCCACGCCCCACACGCACAGCCCTCCCCCTACATGCTGTCTCCTTCAGTCTGCCTGCCCTCTCCTTGTTTGAGGCTAAACAGGCCCTCGAGCCAGAGGAATTTAGAGAGCCCTGAACTGAATCTCCTTCCCTTCATTTCCATGAACTCCCCCCCAGCTCCCTCTGTGAGAGGCCTGGTTTCTCACAGGTGCCTCAGGCCCCCTTAGAAGAATGCTGCCTTAATCCAGGCTGGCTGTAGGCATCCGGCCTAGCAGGAGATTCACATACATCATCTGTTCTCCAGGGGGTCCAATTTCCTCCATCCCTAGAGCTGCACTTTCTATGCCAACACTTGTTTTTCCAATGGTTCCAACTCAGGCCTCCATGCTGCTGCCCCAGAAAGCCACCTGCAGATAGCCCATGTTAGAAAAACCACCCTGCCGCGCCCCATTCACTTCACTGAACTGAAAGCTTTGGAAAGGCTATTTGGGACCAGATCAACAGGGATGTTAAAACATGAGCATGTGAGAAACAGCTATTCATCTGGAACAGAAGAGGAAGGAAGCAGAGTCTGGTTAGTGGTCAAAACCCGTGATGGAGAGTCAGGAATTCTGTGCCAAGTTCTGCCACGTACTTGCTGTCTGATCTCGGGCAAATCACAGAAAACTCCACACTCTTAGCTCCCCTTCCCACCCCCTAAACCTATTACTTTCACCAGTTCAGCTCCCCAGTGGCAGTAAAAGAGACTGCACTAGTGAATTCAACACACAACACCCAATGGTATTTCAGCCACTGTATTTAGATTTGCTTTGAACAGGGAGACAAAACCCTGCTACCCTCTCTATGCTGAAACAAGAATCATGGACTGACAGGCTTTTCATTGTATGCCATGGGCTATATCTAATAAAACGGGCCTCATTCCCGAACTAGTGTCTCTAGCAACTACTGTAAACACAAACAGAATAAGTCTCAGGGGGGTAGCTGTGCACAGCCACCCCAACTGAATTTGTCGCGTTAACACTGGTCCTACATTTGATAAGTAACACTCTTCTTTTGTTATACTAGTGGGCATATTTATTGTTTTAGAATGTCACTCTGTGGCCCACCGCCCCTCCCTGGTACTCCAGGGCGTGGAAACCATGCAGCCTCCCCTCTCCCCACATACCCTTGGCTAAGACCCTGTACTCCCAGACCCCTCTAAATTCCTTCCCCCCGGGGAGACTCTGCACCCTCCAACACCCCTTCCTCTGAGACCCCACACTCCCAGCCTGCTCCTGCCCCCTCCCCCTGGCCACACACCCACCACTAGCCTGCCCTTGCACCCTCCCCTGCCCTTGCACCCTCCCCCCATGCCAGACACCCTCCCCCCAGCTAGACACCTACCTCCAGAGGGGGGTTGGCGAGTGTAGCGAGCAGGGGGCGCAGCCCCATAGTGTGTGTGTGTGTGTGTATACACACACACCCACCCACACTTCTCCCTGCCTCTGTAAATTCCACTCCAATTCATCTGATGAAGTGAGTTTTACCCACAAAAGCTTATGCCTTAATAAAGCTATTCGTCTCTAAAATGCCACAGGACTCCTTGTTGTTTTTACAAACAAAATAGTGCCGGTCCTGCAATTTTGGGGCTGTCTGGGATTCAATATGCCCAAAATCCCACTGAACCGAGATCTGAAGTGAGAAGCAGGGTATGAGTAGACCCACAACTGGGCCCAGTCAACATCTGACTCAGTCCATCTCCCTTCCTCCCGGGTCTAGCAAACTGGGATAGAGTTACCACCATAGAACAGCTGATATAGGAAATAGATTGGGATAAAGTACTGGGGAGAGGAATAGGATGGGGGAACCCAGACTTCACAGTTAGAAGGGATTTACCCCAAGTCCCTGCACAGAGGGCACTAATGGATCACCATACAAGCTAATGAGAGTCAGACCCATAAGTACTCAGATAGAATAACTCCAGATGCAGTGAGGAATGAGCGCTGGTGCTTCTGGCAGATGGCATCTTCCCCTCCATGTCAGCACTGCCCCAGTTCCCCGACATGCTGTTTTCTTTGCTAATGGAAGTGCCATCTTTCAGATCAGAGTTATTCATGCTGCTCTTGGTGCATGTAGCTCTATAATGCCCACAAGAGCCAGACACCCAAAGGTCCAAATCAGGTAATTACAATTTCTACCTAAATTTCACCTGCATTTTTTGTGTCTGTTGGTGATGTGGCGGTCCTATTATGCATTAACCCCATTGGAGAAAAATTAGCCAGTGCTCAGCACCCACTGTCAGCCAAGTTCCTACGGCTACCTCTCTTCTCGCCCCCAGTGCCTCTTGCTCACTAGCACCCCTGCTGATCTACTCTTCCTCCTCCCTCCCAGACTCTCCCGCCCCCATGACAATAGCTGTTTCATTGTGTTCAGAGGCTCTGGGAGGGAGAGGGTGGAAAAAGGTAGGGCCAGGGTGGGGACTTGGGGGAAGAGGCAGAGCAGAGTAAGGGCAGGGGTGAAAGTTGAGTGTGAGTGTGAGTGGTGGGGGCGGGGAGAGGTGTCAAACAACCCTCTGGCCAGAGGAGAAGTCGATGCCTATGCTTTCCTGAATGGCTATATTGTGTTGCTGTGTATGGTAGTACTGCTGCTGTGTTTCGCTCCAGGCATTTTTGTGCTGGGAGAAGGGATTCTGTACACAGTTTGTAAAACTATTATTGATGTTTACAAAGCATCCTGGGAACAAGGGATACCACAGGACTATAGGATGGGATGCTCAACTGGCGGATCAAAGGAGTGCTGCAGATTTACACCAGCTGAGGATTTGTCCCCACCAGTTCTATTTATTAGGAAGCAATGCGGTCTCCTCCCGCCGACTTCTACAATCTCAACTGCCCAGTCAGCCAAGCAGAATGTGTGTGACAGAAGGGCACACACACAAACAGCATCAAATGGAAGGAAGAGGCTCCCCCGACAAGGGCACTTTCCTGCTCTAAGATAACAGCTGAAGATACGGTCCTACTATCACATACAAGTCCTTTGGGAGCCTGTACTGCCTTTGGCTTTAATCAGTATGCTAACAAAGAGTAGAGAACTGTGTTATGGAATGGTACACTGGGAGTGGGGGCTAGGAGGGGTGTATGTGTGGGAATAGCCCCCAGCTCTCGTCTCTGGGGATTTACTTAATAGAGAGATTTAGGCTCATGCTGCTCTATTCCTCCTAGCCCAATCCACCAAGCAGGTTGCACCAAGACCCACTGCGCCTCTGGCTCATTCTAGGTGGGAAAAGGTTATTTCAAGTCTTAAACCAGTCCTCCAGTTCCTAGGATGAAAACCAATAAAAAAAAGGAAGGCAAATCTCAGCAGCTCATTTCTACCCCCTTCAATCCCCTTTCCAGCAGTTTATTTTTAATTGGTACAGGATTATTTTCTGCAACTGTTGCTAAGGAAACCTCAGTTGCTATAGCAACTGTATATGTTAAATTGCTTGCTTATATCTATTAAAATTCACTATATACACATGCTGTGAGTTGTGGGGACATACTGTATCTCTGTACACATGCCCATGGTGTATACTGTATCTATAATAGAAACATGAAAAATAGAGATTTTTAAAAATCCCTCCTACTTTCCTTCCCACATTACAGCACTTCAAGGGGAGGAGAGCTGAGAGGACAGAGAAGGGATATTTTTAAGGCTGGTGCTTCTGGGCAACAGACCCATGTCTCACATGGGAAGGATCTTTTCTACTGATGTGGTAAAAGTGCAGTCCCAGATAAAAAAAAATAGCGATTCACACACACACACACACACACACACACACACACACGTATTTCACCAGTGGTGGCCAGTACTGCATCTCCATCACTGGCAGCTACAGTGTGGACACGGATCAGAAGTTTGTACCACCACTTCATGTAAGCCTGGCTCTGAGACCAGCTCAGTCCCAGGAACAGCACAGCTTCCATGTTAGCAACAGGTCTTAAAATACAACTCATTGTTCTAGTCTAGACGTGCCCTTAGAAAACACCCGTACTGTTTTTTGCTCCCTTTCTACAACCTAGAAGCTGTGCACCCCACAGACTGGTGGGTATGCTCTGAGAGGTGTGCCTGAAGTAACTCCAGAATCAGGCAGAGAGCTAAGAAGCAATCTGGTACTATTCCTGACACGGGACGATAAATCCTTCACCTAGACACTGGATAAAAAGCAGAAATTATTGTGGGAGTTTGTTACACATATGTTATTAGGTGAGAAATTGCTCTGATTGCCTCCACTTGTCTCAGAAGCTTTTTGTGCTTAGAAGGTTTTGGAACATGTACTTTTTCTAATGTTTAAAATTCTACAGTAGCTGACAAAGTTGATAGAGACACAGTGGCACAGAATACTCGGAGGACCTACCTCAGCCAGACAGGGACAGGGAGATTGTTTCAATACAGATCTGGGCTCTGCTGTTTCTTTTGTGGCTTTATGGTTCATCTTCAGATGCATTTGAGAGACATGGCAATTATATTGGCCTGAGATAGCATTTGGTTTCAGGCACTGCACTCTCCATGGGCCAACCCTCCAAGTCCTTCTTCAGGAGAACTTCCCATCCCTTCAGTATGAGATTGGCCTGAACAGAAAGAGAGCAAGGGGCGTGGCTCTACAATTATAAACTGATGCAGTTTTCCTGGAGTTATCATGCTGCACTGCAAAACACCATGAGTAGTGTGCACAGTGATGTGGAGTCACAACTACACAGCACTCTTTGCTAAGCTGTCAAGAGACCAACACTCTCTTAATGGGTCTCAAGACACCTGCTCAATGGAGCCCTGGGAAACAGGTGTGTGTTCTGGTAAAGATATTCTGCAGATAAACTGCAAACCATAATCCAGTCTCTACCCTGTTTCTTGGATTCCCCTAGAGAGAGGAAGAGAGTAAAGAGGATGGTAACTTCATGTAGTATTACTGGCTGCTGATATAACACTAACACATAATTTACACCGGCAACGA